TAGATTTATTTTTATTGAACTTGAGGATTGCTATCTGGGCGCTCATTTATGTTCCTGCACTGATATCATGATAAATGCTGTGGAAAGCAAAGGAAATATGGCTTGTGAAAATACTTTGCTAATAGCATACACAAGAAAACATATGCTAATTGCTTTGTTATCTGACGCTTGTTATAGACTTAAAGACTGAATTTTTTTGTTTTGTTTTGTTTTTTTACATTTTTGGACTTTAAAAATTTATTTATTTCACACGCCAGCCAAATCTCTGTCTTAATCTCCACTGGTTGCTAAGTGAGTCGCCAGTTTTGTCACTTCTGAGAGAGTGACAATGTGTATCACATTTCCAATTTTCGAATATATATTGAATGTAATACATTGAAAACATTTGTGGATATCAAAAGAATTTTGCAATTAGATTGCAGAAGTCATATGCACTTTATCATGTGGGTGTTGAGTGTTATCTCTTTGTACATGAGGTTTTGGTAGCTCATGAAACGAATTTAAACATTACCCTATGGTGAAAATAACTAAGAAGGCTACGGCGGCAGGGTTTGGCCAGCTATGGTCCACACGCCAAATCTAGCCAGCCATCTGCTTTTGTATAGCCCACAAGCTAAAAAATGTTTTTTGTTTTGACTTTTGTTTTTTTTTCTTTTTTACATTTAAAATGTTGAAAAAAGTCCAAACAAAAATGCTATTTTGTAACATGTGAAATTTATATAAAATTCAAAGTTTAGTGTCCATATGTAAAATTGTATTAGGATACTGCTACATCACTTTATTTAGATTTGGTCTCTGCTTTCATGTTACAATGGTATATTTTAATAATTGTGACAGAGACCATATGGCCCAAGAAGCCTAAATAATTACAATCTGTCCCTTTAGACAAAAAAAAAAAAAAAAAAAGTTTTTCTGCTACTGTCCTAGGGTATCATTTAGAACTTTAAAACAATTTAATATTCTCCTAGATCAAAGAAAGGTAGAATATCTCTCTGTCATTATGTACACATTGATCAGAGAGACAAACTGGAAAAATTTATATTAGATATGAGAATACAGGAGACTAAATTCTCGAAAGTTTTATTTCCTGAAAGTTTTTGCATAAATAAATGGAGAGAATTAAGTTCTACCTATAAGACATATGGGTTTTCCAGCTCTGATACAGTTGATACATACATATATACATACATACATACATACACACACAGTATACATATATACAAAATTTTAAAAGTAAATTTTGGAGCAGGAATTTGATTAGGATTCAGTGATTGAAATTCAATGGAAGAGTTCCCTCCTTTTCCATACCCTCTCTAAACCTGACTTTAATGAAAATAAAAACTTAGAAAAACAAAAATTAAGTATGAAGATATTTATAACAGATCCATATTAATTTGGGTATTAAGACCAATAACTTCTTAAGATAAGACGTAATGCCTGCAGATCTAACTTTCAGTATGTAGCAGTAGTCTATATGTAGTCACTTTTGGTGTGTATCACCAAAAGATTCTGCCCAAGTAAACTTTGGTCCTGACATTCATCAGAGGCCCAGGCTTCATCCTTTTGAAATATTTGCTTTGAAGCAACCGTCTTGGGACAATGTTTTCATTAAACCAATTGTTCAGAGTAACAAAACCAATTGTTCAGAGAACAATGTCTCTAGACAAGGGAGAAGGTATAGTACTAATGGGAAAAATACAAAGGAGAAAACAATACCAGCATCACCTTAATAAATATCTAATACTAATGTTTACTGAGCACTTCTTTAGACTTTAGACTCTATCCTAAGCTCTTAAAGACATCATCTCCATTATTTGTTGTAACAGTCCAATGAGGTAGATACTAACCGTATGACTACTGCTGCAGAAAAAGAAGCTAAGAAGTAGTGCCACAGTTCGTTAATTTCAACTCAGTATCTGAAGTCCAGGAATTTTGTGTGTGTAGGGGGCAGGGGAGAATTTTTCATGGGTTACTCTACTCTAGGTTTTAATCACTAGGCAAGTGAAGGTGACTCAGTTGTCACTCTGGAAGTTTCTGGTGGGAGTGGAGGGGAGTGCAGTTTATAAGATATGTGTTATGTCATGTGTACATAGACATAGCCAAAATGTAATTCTTCCTTCTCTCTTAAGTAGTTGGCTCTCAGTGTAAGTTATTTCAATTTCTAGAACAATATGCAATATGAAATAAATACTGATTTAAAACTAATTTAATTTTCATTTCTTTTTAAAAAGAAGTATACCTAACTGTTCATTCCTATGATTAAAAGAAAAACACCATAAATGTATGATTTAACAAATAAACAAAATATATTTCACTCTTGGTATATAGGTATTATTATTAGATAAGCTATTAGCATAAAACTTTGTATTAGGAGGATATGCTCACAGATGAACTTGAGCCAAGCTTTCTCCACAGCTTAACAAGATAGTCCTACTTCAGTGAAGCCTTTAGTTGATTGATTTCCAGATCTTGAGAATTCCCTGCATGTAAACAATTAAAATACAGGGTATTTATTATACAGTGCCCTGCCAAACTTGAACCTCAGTTTTAATTTCCTGTTCAGACTGAAATAGTAATGCAAGACAAAAGGAGGAGATGGGAACATTAAGAGGGATTGAAACTAAACCAGCCAAAAGTAAAGAGGATGAAGAAAAGAATATGTGCTAATGAAGAAAACTTCTCCATGGTGCCACTGACTGGGCTCTCTGGGGTCTTTTCTTTAGGACTCAGCCTGGAATGATACGAAGAGCTGGGAATATGGAGCAGAAAAGACCTGGTTCAAATCCTTTATAAGGCAACTACTAGCCTTATAACTTTGCGTAAATGAAACTCTCTAAGTCCCACTTTCTACAAAAGTTAATTAGGAAAAATACCTACCTACCAGGATACATGCTAAAAAGAAATGTGTGAAGTTTCAAATGTAGTTCTTGAAAATTGGGAGAAACAAATACTCAATTCTTGCCTTTTCTACCTGCAATCCTTTTTAATGTGTGTGCTCCCTGAGTTTTTGTCTGGTCTCCTCTTTTCTCTCACTAATATTTCTATTGGCCCTACACTTAATTACCTAACTTCAGCCATTACAAGAACTAATAAGAAAAATATTGAATAGTATCAAATAGTCCTCAGTCTTGACGTAAGGAATAACGATCCATTACTGGGGTATAAATAATTCTTATGTGGGGCGCCTGGGTGGCTTAGTCAGTTAAGCGTCCGACTTTCGCTTAGGTCATGATCTCACGGTTCGTGGGTTCGAGCCCCGCATCGGGCTCTGTGGTGACTGCCAGCTCAGAGCCTGGAGCCTGTTTCAGTCTGTGACTCCCTCTCTTTCTGGCCCTCCCCTGCTCGCGCTGTCTCTCTCTCTCTCTCCTAGAAATAAAACATTAAAAAAAATAATTCTTATGTAATTTGGACACATATACTGTGTAACTATTAGGTTTCTTTTCAAGCTAAAAGTGCCTCTTAGACTTATTAGTTACTTAGGATAAAAAAGAGAAGGATTTTGGAGGGAAGATAACATTGCCTCCATATTCATTTTTCAAGTTTACGTATTTATTTTGAAAAGTGGGGAGGTGCACAGAGAGACAGAGAGAGAATCCAAAGTAGGTTCTACGCTGTCAGCACAGAGCCCAGTGCGGGGCTTGAACTCACAAATACTTAGTGAGAACCTACTTTGCACATCAGACATGAAATCTGTTATGAAGGAATTAGAGTATCTAAGACATGCATCAGTGAAATAATTCTTTTACTAAATTTAAAGTTTTAACTATACTAACTGTTGTAAGTGAAAGTATAAATAAAAGTTCTATGTGAGGCTGTACAAGAGAAGAGGTCGACATAGACACGTCTAGAAGCCTTCACTGAGGAAGAGACTTCAGCTGATGTTTGAAAGTGAGGAGGGGTAAGCAGAAGAAGAGGGACTGAGAAATAAAAGCATAAGTAAGGAAATGTGGTGAAAGAGACACGGTGACTGTGAGGAGATAAAGAAGTATGTTGTGACAAGAGCCGAGAGATGAGATGAAAGCATTAAATGGGAACTTCGTTTATCTTTTACAAAATGTTAGCCTCGACTTGAAGTAGATGGCTGACAATAGCGTGATTTGAGAAGTATTTAGAGATGCTACCATTAGAATTTTCTCCCAAGGGCACCTCGATGGCTCAGGTGGTTAAGCTTCCAACTCTTGGTTTTGGCTCAGGTCATGATATCATGATGGTGAGATCGAGCCCTTCGTTGGGCTCTGCCTTGACAGTGCGGAGCCTGCTTGGGATTCTCTCTTTCCCTCTCCCTCTGCCTCTCCTCTGCTCTCTCTTTCATAAATAAATAAATAAATAAATAAATAATAAATTCTCTCTCAGATATTTTACCATTCATTCCTCCATTTAGCTAATGAACTATTTCTAACCAGACACCGGGAGTCTTCACTTTGCACAGTAGTGCAGGACTATAAAAGTGACTCTCCAAGCCAAAACCATGCAAGCCAATTATAGTATCAGTGGGGAAAATGATATTTCTGTGACTTCCAAATTATAGTTAGCATCAAACATTTTCTTATTCTCAGTTATTAATGAATAGGGACATAAAAATAGTAACAGGAATTCTTCATTAAAACACTGATTTAAAAGATTGGAAACTATTTCGTTGCTAACAAATGTATCAAGTGTGGTTTGAGCAGTGGTTGACTTCTTATTATATAATTTATGATCTGGAGTGAGCATCTTTGCTTTGCCTTAGCAAATTGTCACACTTCTTTCTAAGTTTGGGTCAGCTTCCAACATTTTATCTTCCACACCGCCAATGTTATGAAAATTTCTCTAAGAATTCCTTTAATGTCAAGTACCTTGTCAGAGCACTTCCTCTGGGATAACTTCAACCTTTTTGTCACTGCCATTTCCCTAATTTATGTTGATAAGCGCCCTTCTCAGTTTTTATTTCTCTGCTATAGTTGTTTCATCTTTGTTGATCAATTCCCTCTTTCAGGTATCTTCTTTTTCAAACACCACAGGTTATCACTGGGAGGTAAGGAGGCAACATAAGTGCTTATGCCGCAGTTGCATGGTTGCTATCCGTGTGCATACAGATTCACAGGTATGTGAAAACTAACCACTGACAGGCTTTCAAAGAAGTAGTTGATCTGTCACTGATTCTGATGCACATCTGCATCTTACAAGATTGTCAGATAGTCCCAATAATCAGGTAAAGTTGAGGCACACTGCTACAGAAAATCACACTACGGGGAAAGAAACACTATAGGGAAATCACACAAGGACCTTTTAGAATCTTATGCTTACATAGATATAATTGATCTTTGTCTCCAGACCAACTAAATTGCCATCAATTATCAATAAGTATGATTGAGCTTTATGTAAGAACCAGAGGTGTGAGTGTTTTCTACACCCTATTAGTAACACCCAGGATAAGGCATATACATGCAGTATTTTTTCAGATTAGAAATAAAATATACAAAACATCACTAACAATTTAGGATACTTAACTATTAAACAAACAAAGGTGTACATAGAGTTTTTGTTTTATGCTTCATATTCAGTGCCCATTACATTTCAAAAACAGCTTTGATAATTCTGCTCAATTCAGCAGAAATCTCATATACACTAACTAGTATTTTAAAATTAAAGTCATTTATTCAGCAGATGAGAAATTAGAGTTATTACTTATCTCATATATAATTCTACCAGTCGTCCTGGTAGCAATCAGTTCTCTCCATAATATCTCTTTAAAAAAAGTCAATAATCTTTTCACATTGGATAATAACTTACACAGTGAATGTAAAAAGAGTGTTCAACTCCTTTGTGCAATCAACCCAATGTCTTTTGTTAGGTATGTATGACTTCAAATCAGTGTAAAATGGCAGTCTAGCAGTTAAACAGTGTGCATTGCTGGATCTAATTAATTCTACTATTTTATGCCAAAAATTCCATTAGTTTCCATTAAAGGTCTTGATGTAGTGCAGGCTCCTTTATGTTTTGTAGTTAAAACAATCAAACTCCATTTCAAATTAAGGATTATACTGCAGGAATGAAGGAATGCTAGTGTGGCTTTCTAGCACTGAGTTAAGTTACTCACTTTTAACAGGATATTCGGAACATGAGTTAACTGCAAAATGGTTACTGTGTAATAAATACATCAACAGAATACTTAAACCCATAGGAAAAAAACAGCTGGGAAAAGGCAGTTAGGAGTCTGCCCTATGTGTTATAGTTTTATGGTAATATAATAATATGCCATTGGAAACAAAAGTTTCACTAGGGTTACTGGAAATATTGGAAGCAGCAATGCAGCCAAATTTAATATTATTTTCCTCCTTGAGATTTATACCTCTGCTATATATGCTCTTTTAAAGATGCCATTCATTCATAATTCATTGTATAGTTTTACAAGCCTTCTTTTGGTTAGTAAATAGTAGTTATTGCATCCCCACTGTGTGTAAGGAATCATCATCACTGTGTGGTGACAGATAGATGACCGAGTCACATGGGAAATGAACCATGAAAAAGGAAAATGGCAGATCCTCACCAGCTACCAAAGGACGGAAGTATCAGGACTCTTTCTAGTAAATATCAAGACTATATCATTTGTCCAGTTTATGTTTTTGTGATTGATACCAATGTTCTTTTTACTTGGCCAATACTTGTTTATATAAAATAATCACGCTTATAATCTATAATAGATACATTTTAGTTCTCATTAAGGACTTTTTAAATACAAACACCGATACGAGTGATTCTCATGTGTTTTGTTTTTTTTATTACTGCCATAGGCTTATTTTTTATTAATCAATTATTCATCATCAAGCATTACCTGAAAAGTCACTATAAAGGCTTTATATTAGTAGTTGGGGCTAACACTAATATAGAATTATGCTAGTTATAATTATTAGACTTCGGTCATGAGGAATTTATTCAAGATAGTTATAGCTGTGAAGATTCCAAAATTTTGAACATTTTTGATTGCATCCATCTATGCTTTTCTTTTGGGGAAATATTCATAGCTCTGGTCTGAATCTTGAGATATATGCTCTGTTAAAGCTGAGATGCTCTGGATAGAGGGAAAAGCTATGAATAAGAAGAGTTCACACGAAGTATTACGTTGGATGACATGAATTACACAGAAATGGGGGCAAAAGTTCAGAAAAGGCAATAATGCTGTGAGTTGGGATAGTAGAGAAGAGCTCCATGTAAAGATGTACTTAAATGCAAAGATAGAGAATATGTTCTATATCCTTGTTTTCTAGGTGTTTAGGAGATAAATACATTTTACCATTTAATACACTATAGTGATAACTAAAAGTCTTATTCCAATTCTATATTTCACTTAGGCTTAAATTCTTAAGCTATATAAAATAATTTGAAGGCCTAGTTAATATGACTGAACAATTAAATAGCATCAACATACTCCATGAAATGGATTTTGTCAAAAGATCAATATTTTCATCAATACACTTTTCTGAAAAGATGCTAATGCTATGGATGAAATTAGGTTCAATTGATTCTAAAAGGAAAAAAAAACCCTAGGATATTAATAAGTTCTATATTTAGTATTTTCTGTATATATTTTCTTGAACTATAAAATTCAAGCCACCAGCAGAAATATTGTCTTTTGAGAATATAGGACATTTCTTTCAAATCAAAATAATTACACCCTCTCTTCATAACAAAAATAAAGCCTACTTCCGACCTGCCATTGGCCTTGACATTCCTTCTCCTTTCCCTTCCTCCTATTAACTAAAGATGTCTGGGAATTTTATACCCAGCCTGCTAGCGGAGCTGCAAGCACCAATATTAAAAAATAATATAAATCATGGCTTATATCAAGTTTCTCTTTTAAAACTGTGATTCTCCAGAAAATAGAAAGGTTTAAACTAAGATATACTATGAATTAAACCAAGAAATATAATTATTTATATACAGGTTGATCTCTCAAAAAAAATAAAAAGTGATGTATCAAATGGACCCTTTCTACCACCTTTGATATTCCATGATTCTAAACTTATTTTTGCAGTTAAAAACAGAAGAGACAATAATTTACTTGTTATCCCAGGACCAAGAAATCAGATCTTGTAAGCAGTATTTTTAACTGGTTTTTCATAACTGCACTTGAAATACAAAGTACACTCGTGATTTTCAAAATTATATCATAAGCTATATGACATAGCTACTAGATGAAGATTCATTCATTTCAAAGAAGATACTACAGTCTAAATTGTATTTATGTTTTAGTGTCTGGACATGTTTACAGCTTTCTCAATTATTCACTGCCTCAAAGTCTCACTGAAAGAACAACTACATCAGCTACTTGTTTCTAAAAAGAAGCACATTTGTACCAGACTAGAAAAAGTAATCAATATTTGTCCATACTTATCGTATAAAATATCTAGTGGAACAAATTTCACAGTTTCAATGACTCAGTTGGTAATTCATTACTCATGTTATTATGCCCTCTCATCTTTGACTTGTTTAAGACAAACAAACTAAACTCAGTATGTTTGTATTCTCCCCCCAGTTATTTTGTAAGCTTCCCCCCACCCCCAATTCTTTTTTGATTGCTTTTAAAATAACATTATTCAAACAAAGAGTCTAAATCTGATCCCAGTATTCAAAAAATATTCAACTAAGACTATATATGACATACATGTAAAGAATACTACTCTATTCATGGTTATATATATATATATATATACATATATATATGCACTATATATATATGCACATATATATATATACTATTGTATTCATATACACTGTGCTATAAGATTTTTTTAAAACTCATCTTGAAAGAGAAAAACTTCAAATTTGATTCTTATTACAGATAATAAGATCAAAATAATGACTCAAGAATCTTTGATGATGAAGAAAGTAGTAAAGACCAAGGTGTAAAGGTAAGGCATATACGTGTGTGTGTGTGTGTGTGTGTATACATATATATACACACACACACACACACACACATGTATATATATGTACATATATATATATATACATATTTCCTCATTAAGTGCAGAAAAAATCCAATCTATGTGAAAGAAAAATAAAACTTACCTAATAGGGTTGATTGGCTTAATCTTTGAAGTTTTCAAGAAAAAGTTATTGATGAAATCACAATTTTATTTCTCCCCCCAACAAAAAAAGGGCAGAATAAATTTAATAATCTAATCAGACTTAACAATTTTTTTAAAAAAGAATAAAACTTGCATCACAATAAAAGAGACCTTCAAGGCAGATATAATCATGGTATGAAAAACATTTCATTTTATTATTGATTAAAAGGGTTTGATCATGAAACTTCATTCATTACATGAACTGCCATTCATTACATGAAGGCAATGCACATTTATCAAGTATATGCGTGGCTTCTCACATTTATGTTTTTCTGCAATTCTTTTTGTCTTAACTTTGATGGTTTTAGTATTTGTATGACTTTTATCAAAATTTCGGCTTCTCCTCAATCTAGTCCTTTAGAATATCAGCCTATTAGAAAGCCCACTGTGAAATAGACTGTGCAAATAGAGAAACTTCAGCTTCATCCCATTCCTGTATTAATTCAAAATTTTCTGTGTCAGTTGTTGACATAAATATAAATCTTTGACTGTTAAGAACATAGATTCCCACTAATGAAAATGGAAAACAATTGAATTCTCTGGAACTGGTACAAATCATTCACATGATTCAGTAACAGTCCACTCTGGCAAATCACCATGACATAATGATTATAGTAGCCTTTAAACATAGTAAATTATAATGCATGGACCACTCTGTTCTACCTTCACTTCTCTGGTAACTCAATAAGTCCACTCATAACAAAGTCAACTTAATATAAATCTTTTAAAAATTAGAGTAAATAGAAAAATCAAGTTCTACTTCTTTAACATGGATCCCCAAAGATAACTTAAAGAAATATGAGGTGTAATGTGAGGCAAGTGGACTACACTAATTATGGAAAAATTTACCTAATAGGTGTTTTTAATAGGTGTGTATATGTGTATATACATATATATGCAATATATGTTTGTTTGTTTTTACTGTTCATGATTGTTTAGTGACTAATAAAAAAATAATCTTGAGAAAG